ATTTTCCTCCTTTAATTTCTAAAATTAAAAAAAATTTTGAATTTCTAAGCAAATGACAATTGATAGACTTAAAATTAGTGTTTAATAAAAACTTAAAAATTTAGCCCCTGTTAGCCACTAGTAAAAGTTAATACAGGTAGTAAAATATATATTACAAAGGATCATTCTGTACAAAAGCAGGCAATACTGTACTTGTCAATTGTTTTGTGGTATCAAAATTGATTAATATAAAATGATTAGGCTAAGCTAAAAGTCCCTACATGTTTTGATGGGAAGATTCTTATAGGATTTCCAGATTGTCTTTGATAGCACCCACTGCTATAATTTCTACGTATGTGTGTGTGTGTGTGTGTAGATTCATTTCAATGTACATCTTCCACATTTTTGCACATCAACTTCATGAAGTATAACTTACTTTTATAGAAATCCACATTTTTAAAACTATAATTTAGTGAGTTTAGACAAATATATACACATGGAGTCATAAAAATCACTAACAAATCAATATTTAATCATCCAAAAAGTTGCTTCGTCTCTGCAGCTATCCTCTCTTTCTTGTAGCTCCTAGCTACAAATGATCTATTTTCACTGCAGTTTTGCTTCTCAAGAATTTCACACAGCTGGGTGTGGTGGCACATGCCTGTGATCTTAGCTATGCAGAGGCCAGCGCAGGAAGATTGTGAGTTCCAAGCCAGCTTGAGCTACATATTGAAGCCAACCTAGATTACATAATGACACTCTCAAAAATAACAAATTCAGAGGGAATAACACATAAATGGGTTCCTTCAATTCTCCTGGTGACATTGTTAATAGTTTTAATTCTGGCCATTCTGCTAAGTGTGCTGTGGTATCTCATTTTGGTTTTAATTTATATTTTTCTTATGACTGATTATGGGAATATTTAAATGCTTATGGTCAATTCATTGATCTTCCCTGATGGGGAATTCCTACTAAGCTTTTGCCCGTATTCGCATTGAGTGGTTACTCCTCTTTACTGACTAGTAAACATTTGGTTTTCTAAAAATATTCTGAAAAAATCCCTGGTATATGTTTTGCAAGTATCACTCCTAGTCAGTGACTTGCCTTTTCATTTTCCTAGTAATTTCTTTCCAAAAAAGGCTTTAATTGTGAGAAGACCCAAAATTAGCAATTTTTATGATGAATACTTTTGTCACAGGGGTTTTCTTGTGGAACTTTAATAGTTTTAGTACTTGCCCTGGATCAATTCTCAGCTGAGTTTACTTTCTTAATGTTATGTAAGTTAAAAGCCAGTTTATTTTCCATTTTTCCCAGCCTACTTACTAAATAGTCTACAGTATTCTGTTCTTTATTGAACATGTGATATATTTTAAATCCATTGAGCATATTTGTGTGTGCCTCTTTATGGACTCTAAACTGTTTTCCACTGATTTATATGTGCATTTTTATAGCCATAACACACTATCTTCATGACTTTCCTTTTTTTTTTTTTTTGGTACCGGGAATTGAACTCAAGACCTTCTGCTTGCCAAACAGGTGCTTGTGCCACTGAGCTATAGTCCCAGCCCTATACTAAGCTTTGGAATTAGGGTCAGTCCACTAATTTTTTCGTCAGTATTGTGTTCAATATTCTAGATCTTTTCTTTTTCTATGAAAACTTCCCATACTAAAAGTAACTTGCTGGGATTATGAATGATTTTGTATTCAATCTATAAATCAATTTGGGAAGAATTCATACCTTCATATTATTGAGTCTTCCAGTTAATAAACGTGGCATAGCTTCCCAATTATTTAACTCTTCTTTATCTTTTTTTCAGCAATATTTTATAAGGCTCAATTTAGAGTATAGCACATATTTTGTTAAATTTATCCCTAATTATTTCATATATTTGATGCTATTATAAATGCTTCCTTCTTGAAATTTCTACTTACAATTGATCCTGCTAAAAGTTTTAGCCTTTTTTTTTTTTTTTGGTACCAGAAATCAAACTCAGGACCTTGTGCTTGAGCCATTAAGCTATATTTCCAGCCTCTAATTTGTTAGTTTTAAGCTGCATATATATTTTGTCCTGGATTATTACAACAACTAGGATCCCTAGTACAATATTCAGAAGAAGTGATGACAATAGACATTTCAACTGTGTTCCTGACTTTAATAGTAAGCACGCTCAGTCTTTCACTTTTAAAAATAATGTTGGCTATAGACTTTTTGTAAATGCCTCTTATGGCAGTGAGGAATTCCTTTATGGTCCTAGTTTAATGAGAGTTTTTTTCTATCAACACATGTTGAATATTTCTAATTTTTTTATATGAATTGAGAAAATTCAGAATTTTTCTTTTTTAGTCCTTTAATATGATTAATTATATTGCTTGATTTTTTTTTTTTACTTGCTCTGTTAGGAGTCAGAAGGAAAAAATTAAATCACTAATTATTACGTACATGGATTCAATTTCCACGTCAGTCTGATTGAGCAGTCTCCCCTTTCTCCCTTGACAATACAAATCTTGTTTTTTATCATCTTGGAATCTCTAGCTTTTAACAT